CTATTGTACCAAAAAAAAAAAAATTATATCATAAGATATTTTTGTATCCAATCATGAACGGGCGAAATAAGCGTGTTGTACAAAAGTGCCAAAATAAGAACCACAGGGCGAAAAAACGCGTTGCAATCCCGTTTCTCAATTCAACTCTCAATTAGGCAGAAAACTGTTTGAGACTCTACTCTGTCACTGTGTCTGCGTCGACACTGAAAAAGCTCCCTTCGACGGAGACGGTGAGGTCCTTTATCGCCCCGCCGTCGCGTCGCGTCCCCTCCCCTGTTAGTTTTCTACACTCATTTTTTTGGTCGGACATTCCTCGCCGCACATAGAGAAGTTAGAAACTCACCGCTCATAGGGTTAGAGATTATCGTCAGCCGGTAACATCTCCAATCCATTTGGGGGACGCAATTAGGCAGCCCGATAAGCTTCTTTCTCACTGGTTACAAATGTAAGTTTTTGCATATCATAACATAATAGCTTCTGATTTCTGGTGGAAATGCTACATACCTATTTATCATTCTCATTTGTGCAGGTCTATTAGGCTTTGGATCTTTTTACAGAGGGGAGATATTTTATTGTTCTTCTGCATTGATGGTGTCGTCTTGTACACGGTAACTGGTTCACCCACGACTTTCTTAGTATGTAGACTTGCATTTGTTACTTTGCTATGTAATATTCCAATCCTACTCTTAGGATGCATTGTGCAGCTAGCTATGTCCTTAATCTGGATTTTGAGTTTCATTTTTTCGTTGCTTTCGGACTTGGGTTCTTATTTTCCCGTAGGATTCGATAAGTTCGATCCTACCAGTGTAGGTAGAGTGCCCACGCGGGTAGGAACGAATTTTTGGTAGCCTGCATAGGTTATTTGGAGTAGATTTATAGTTTGCTTGATCCATGGAATGTGCGAGTGTCTGTGTTTTGTTCGCCACACATGACAAAACAAAATGTCATAGTGAAGGGATTTTCTTAGTTTTCTTTGGTGTGATCATGAGGTTTATGTAGCCCAGTTTCACTTGGAACTATTTTTTACGGTTACCAGATTTATACCGTATAGCATTTTCTCCTTCTGATCTTAAGTGAATGCTAGCATTTTATTGCGCTTGGGCCTTGGCATTAGTTTGATGGATTCTTACGTTACATTGCATTGAAAATTCATTTTCATTCTGGCAGAGTTGCTGCCATTCTTTCGAGAAAACTCTTTCAATGAATGATTGCATATAGATCAGGAGTCATATGAACTCTGGATTGTGCCATAGCTTACATTTTGTACTTCTCACATCAGTAATCCACAGTGAGTTTCTTCATTTTATTTTTCTCTTCTCATCTTTGTCACGTATCTGAGGTGGTTTGCAGCATACTGACAAATTTCTCATTTTTATTTATTTATTTATTTATTTATTTATTTATTTATTTATCTAGTGTTTGTTCATTCACTGCTTTTCGGAGCCTCAATGTGGCAAGTTTTCACGTGAGGTTTAAACCAGTGATAAAGAAATGTTGCAGTGTAGATGATGAACTTCTGATCTTGAAATGGTCAGATGATGATTACCTAAGCGAACAGTTGATTTAAAGCAAGAGGATGGTTTATGCTGTCAACACAATCAGGATTGTTTTTCTAAGTAAAAAGAAAATGAAACAAGGAAAGAAAGGGGAAAAAGAAATGACGGAAAAGAAAGGATTGTTTTTTTTTTTTTTTTTTTGTCTCTATGACCTCTAGGTGATGAAAATCTCTGTGTCGTATTCGTATATTTTGACGGTGCTATCTTACATATGCCGTACATTTAACTTACCCAGAGGTTCATCTATTGTATCATAAGTCCTGCTACCATTTAGCTATAATGTGATGTCCTCTTTGAATGAGGCCAGATTAACATATCAATTGTGCATGACTGCATGCCCACATGTTACACTATTCTTTTATTTCTTCAAACTAGTTAGGACACTTTCGAGCAGCTTGTACCCCACTCTTCAATCTTGTGAGACACGGTGCTCCATTTTTCGACCCATGCAGCCCATCTAGGTTACTACGATGCTTGGCCTTTGTGTGTTTGTGACACTTTGTGTTGGCTGAAAATATTAATTGCATTCATATTATTCTTGCTATATATTTAATTTATCCACGGGGACATCCTGTTGACATCAGCATTCATACTTGATTTCTCCCTTTTCGTTGTTGCATAAAAGAATGTGTGTTGTATTAGAAGTTCTGTGATGGTGAATTACTCCTGTGTAGACGAAGGTTGATGTTCATTGTAGAAATCTCTATTTTTTCTCAATTAGTTTATCATTTCTTGAGTTTCTTGAGTCACACGTACGATAAGGTGATGGACCACAATTGGGGGAGATTATATTTTCCATACGTCAAGTGGAGAGACTGATGGAAAAGTTTAATTAGATTTTGATTTACAAATTAGAATCTATATCTATATTTATAATTAGCAAAGCACTTAATAAAACCTCATTTGTTTTTCCTTTAAAAGACGTTAAGAAAACATGCTTACTTTTTTATATATTTTTTTTCTTTTAATTAAAACCTTAAACCATATTTAATCTATATATATATATATATATATATATATTTTGCTAACAAAAAATTTAATAAAACTATTTGGATTACATTCCGTTTCAATCCAATATTTTTTTTTTAAACCAGTAATTGAAATTTGATCAATAATTTTTTTTTTAAACCAGTAACTGAAATTTAATCAATGACTTTTTTAACAATGGTTAATTAAAGTATAATTATTTTTTTAATTATTCTATTATATAATAGTTATTACTAAACCTAACCAATTATATTTCACACTAAATATATGGAAGTTCAATAACTATAAAAAATTATATTGCAAAATATTTTCTTGAACTATTTATCACACTTAAGCTTTTTTTTAATAAGGTAATTGGCTTTAGTGGTATTACCAAACCTCTTAAAATTTCATAAATAATGATGATGATGATATGATGATGATGATGATGATGATGATGATGATGATGATGATGATGATGATGATGATGATGATGATGAATGAAATAATTAATAAATCAGGATCTATCAAATTTATAATTTTTTTTTTATAAAAACTACGATGATGATGATTTTAAAATAATTAATAAATCAGGATCTATCAAATTTATAAAAACTACAATATCCATTTCATTTTGTGTAGTGATGCAGTGATGAAGTTGAATATTTTTATAATGTTAATTTTTACTAATGACAAAATTTTTAAAATGTGATACTATTACCTAATTTGTAATTTTAATATTATATACATACGTAGAACTTATAATAATTTAAATATATGTGGATGTGTACATGATAGAATACTAGTCATTATAATGGGCCTATGTACATTTATTCTGATGGTAAAGTAGATTAATTGACTTGGGTATAAGAACTGTTAGAGATCATTATCCACTAGTTGTGTGTCTAGGACTTATGTGCTTTATTATATTGCATAGTAGATGGTCCACTTACCAAAACTGTATATGTTGTTTTGCAGGTAATTAGTTCTAGATAAACAAACTTGTTCATTTCCTTTACCCCGCACTCGACATGGCAACCAAGGTCCCCGAACACACTCTCAAGAAAGCCCGATTCGAAAAGACTGCTGCCCTAGAGACCTCCTCAGGATCTCAGGAAGAGACCGCGATTCGAGATGCTGATCACTCAGTCCCCTTACCCGGCGAATTCGAACGTCGTCTATCATTGGCGTTCAACCCCGACTACATTAGACAGCTCAAAGCCAGCAACATTCTTGGATTTCAACGCCTTCCAGCTGCTTCCCGTTCTACGTCTCGCTACTACACGCTCCGTGTCGATCAACTTCGGTCCAGGTTTGCTTACATTCTTGAGAAATATCTCACGATTAAACTCAACGAGCAAGAAGAAATTTTGACTTTTGATGAGGTGACCAATAAAGTCAACGCGATAACTCCGATCATCGTGAATGCTTGCATGACTGCCGTTTACTCGAAACTGCATAACATTCACAAGTCTTTTCAAACACATTCGACTCGTTTTGCGACCCCTCCATCATACACCGAGGATCTTGAGCTTCCTCTACCCTTTGCCGATGCCATCTCCCAACTCGGCGTGTTCTCTCCGAGTGGTGTGACTAAAAATATCTTCTGCGTTCCTGTTTACCCGGAAGGAACCGAGAATGAAGGCCGATCGACCGAGATTTGGCACAGCTATGACTATGAAACTGTGATGCCCTGCCTCCGAACGCTCGGAATCAAGCTGAAATCGGTCGATACCCAATCAGAGGTTGGGTCTGCTTGGTGGACATTCCGGCATGAGCATGTTTATGGTCATTTTGATCTTCGTTGCATATTTTCTCCGGTCAACTACAGTGACCACGCTTGCCTGCTAGCCCTCATGTTTATCCCACACGAGAATCCAGACGATGATGCCTCTAGCTTGATTGTCTTCCATAACGATGATGTCCCGGACTACCCTTGCCGTGCCCGCGAGATACCGCCTGGTTTCCAGCTTAGAGCTTTCAGCGCTCTTTGTCATGCCCCCCGGGAGGAGTGGCTCATTTAGGTGAGCGCCTATTTGTTTTAAGTTGGGAGTTTAGGGTCTGATTGGATGAATTATTTTGGATTTTGATTTGGGTTTATTGGATAAAGTGAGTTCATTTTGAAAAAATTGGATTTTGATTTGGGTTTATTGGATAAAGTGAGTTCATTTTGAAAAAAAAAATAAAATGGTTTGAATGGAATTTTGAGTTTGTATTTTCATTCAAAGAATGCTTAAAATGCAAATGAAAGTTGATCTAAAACAGGTCAACGTCTCATAGTTCCAAATTATGGTTCTATCTTAAACTATCCGTCTAAGAATGCCCCCATCTTGTCTTCTTCAATCCATCCATCAGCCCTAACACCAAAATTTATGACAAATCAAGCATATTGTAAGTAGAGACTATATATGAGTGCACATTCATTTTTCTTAAATTTATTTCCAAGCTACACAACTTATATTTTCATTTCTTCTTTACTTAATAAACTTGGTACACAGACCCTTCTTCCTCCCAATCGGGTTCGGGCTCATCCTCCGGTTTTCTTACCGGTTTGACCCACCGCCCGTGTCGGTTCCGCCGGAGCCCCTTATTCTCCGGTTGGTACCATTTCACCGGCACCCTAAGCTCGTCCACAAGCATGTCACAATCCTTATTCACGAGCGCCACATCCCTTTTCGCCTCGGCCCGGAAACCCGACCCGGACCCGCTAAACCCGTCCACTAAATGCAAGTAAGTCTCGAGCATATGGAACCCGATCGGGTTCAACCCCTTCTTCAAATACGGGCTGGCCCGGGCGTCGAGCCTAAGCTCGACTCCCGCGTGCGTGTACACCCACTCGAGTGTGCCCGTTAGCTCGTCGAACCTTTGGAGCCCCTCGTTGAACACGATCCCGGGCATCCTCGGTACCACATCCTGCCTGATGGTTAGGCGTAGGGTTTTGACTCCCATCTGGTACAACTCGTCTCGGAAAGCGATGTTTCCCACGCGAGGGGCCGCGAACGAGATTACGCTCACGGGGAGGCCCGGGAAGTTGGCGGCCGCCTCGTAGGCGTTGAGCTGGGCCAGCGCGCCGCCAAGGCTGTGGCCCGTGACGGTAAGGCTGACCTCCTCGCCGAGAGCCCGGTAGTGGTTGACGAGACGCTGGACCTCGACCATGGCCTGCTCCGACGCGCTCAACCGGTTGTATCTAAGGGAAAATGATAAAACAATAAATTAGACTTTTTCGATCCGATTCATGATTCGAATTCGAGTAAGAATAGTTTTCAGTATCGAAATTTTAATTCGATTCATGATAATTATATAAAATTTAATATATTGTATAGAATATAAGATTTTATTTATATAATATATATTATATTAAATATAAATATAAAAACACAAAATATATTTTAAAAAATATATTACTCATTTATATATTTATATTTGAAAATGTACATTGTTTTCAAAATATACTTAAAAGTACAAATATGTTTCTACATTTAATATATAAATATAGCACATAAATATGTTTATGTAATTATAAATAATTTCTGAAAACGAATTTCGAATTTCAAATCAAATTTAATAGATCTAGTATCTTAATCAAATCGAATAAAAGTCACAAATTAAATTCAATAAAAAAATCGAATACGATTACAAATATAAACAATGAAATATTTTCATAAATTTGAATCGAATAATTAAATATTTGTTTCACTTCGATTCGTTTACAATATTATGAATCGAATTGGATCGAATGTATTTGATTATCTTATGCCAATCGAATACAAATTACAAATTAAATTCTATAACGATCGAATATATACGAATAGAATAATTTAATATTTTCACGAATTCGAGTCACGAATCAGAAATTAAATTCTATAACGAATCGAATACGAATAGAATAATTTAATATTTTCACGAATTCAGTCAAATATCCATTTTGACTCGTTTATAACCCTATGTTTTTTACCTCGATGTGCGGCTCTTTGACGAGTAGATGCTAAGGAAACCGTGCTCGACCATGGCGTCACCCCGCCCGACCGGCTCCAATCGACTCTGCATGTTGTCGTACCACTCCGACGGTGCGACCGTGCCGCGCCACGCTACGGCCACATCACGTCGACCGATCCGCCTCGACTCCTCATCGCCGCTGACGGCGACGAACCCCATCCAGTTGGAGTCGCCGTCAACGGGCCGCGGTGTCCGCTCGAGCCACCCGACGAGCGATGACGTGGCGTAGATGTACTTGGTGACGTCATAGCCTGAGTGGTCGAGGCCCAATTGGGACAAGAGTCTGCGACGGCTGTATCGGCAGCCACCGCAGTACTCGGAAGTCGGTTCGGTGTCGAGTGCATCGTAGGTTGCCTGTGCCAGTTCGCCGTATTTGACGATCTCCCGACGAAGGCTCGGGTCAAGGGGATCAAGTAG